TCTTGACGACTTATTAGTTTTATTGACGATAAATCTATGCTTATATTCGTGTTACTTTTATGTACAGATACTTTTCTTCCATACATTTCATTTGTGTTTTCGTGTGAAATGGTACACCTTTCATTGGATCGTAACACTCGCACCATGACCAGTTGAAACGGGTCTTTCTAGTAGTGTCAGCTCTTCTACGTTAAGACATTCAAATCGATATTCACCAAACCAAAATAAATATATGAAGCTCTTTTAGCTAAAAACTACGGTACTCAAATTGTCATTATTTGCGTTTTTTTATATCGTATTAAAAAATATTTTGGTGCATATTTCAAAATCACTGGCTTTACTTTGCTTTAGTTTGAATAGTTCACTACTTTCTACTTGTAGTCATACTATTATGGTGGACCTTTTAAAGGGCATAATTGAGAACATTTACAAATAAGCATGAAACTCTCCATAATAGTACATCTATGTATACTGAACATTTTCTGATATGAAACTCAAATCATTGTGACACCAGTGGCCGTGACGAAAAGATTAAAAGTTTCAATGATTGTAACAAGCAGAATGGCAAAATTATTTCTTATATTTATCTCTTTCTGCCACTTGCTGTTGTTACTGAGTTACTATACCACTGCTATAGGTGCCATACACAGTCTACCACTTGGTAATGACATGGCTCTCATAACCAAAGGGAAAGTTAGTGCTAGTATGGGATTTCAGTTTATTATCGCTTTTATTCAATTGGTCATAAACATTTACATCAAAGTGTATTAAAGATGGCCTCTAGATGTTGTTCTTCATGGCAGAAGAGATGGGCTGGCACAAGGAGAACAGCTCGCCTCGCCTACCAATGAATTAGGGGTTTCCTACGTGTTGACAAAACCGAAATGGAATTGTTCAAGTTTTCGTCAGAGCAGGTGGCTACAGCTCATGTGGAGATTTACCAGAAAGAGATGGCTTTACTCCCATATTGCTATACTCCCGTGAGGAGTCGAAATATGTATATTATCCTACATGTGGGTTAGACGAATCATAATTAGAACAATAGATATTATGGTTCTTGCCATTTTCTAAGATTCTGCTTCAGATATATGGATAGCTTCTGTTGTATCTTACCGTATAATTCGAGCTCAAAAAATTGCAAAGTAACAAAAAAGATAAAGCTTTTCCTATGTTTAATACGTTTACTATTGATAATATTCCGCCAACACAGGACGTCCTAAAACAGTACATCAAGTGTGACTGCTACCAAGCTGGACATATTTGGGGATATGTTCTATACAAGCAGCTCCAGATATCGGATCCTGAAGATGGTACTAAGCTGGACATATTTGGAGAAATGTTCTCCGTAAGTAGTTTCAGATACCGAATCCTGAAAATGCTTCCAAGATGGACATATTTGGGGAAATGTTCCATACAAGCAGCTCCAAATACCGAATCCTGAAAATGCTACCAAGATGGACATATTTGGGGAAATGTTCTATACAAGCAGCTCCAGATACCGAATCCTGAAAATGCTTCCAAGATGGACATATTTGGGGAAATGTTCCATACAAGCAGCTCCAGATACCGAATCCTGAAAATGCTACCAAGATGGACATATTTGGGGAAATGTTCCATACAAGCAGCTCCAGATACCGAATCCTGAAAATGCTACCAAGATGGACATATTTGGGGAAATGTTCTGTACAAGCAGCTCCAGATACCGAATTCTGAAAATGCTACCAAGATGGACATATTGGAGGAAATGTTCTTTACAAGCAGCTCCAGATATCAAACCCTGAAGATTGGGAATGGGGAAAGGATGATGTTAAAAGGAGCAGCATTGCAACAGCTCAGAAGGCACGTTGTGAATGAATAAAATGAAATTGCAAAGAATCTTGCAGAGGAAAGTGCAAATAGTTTAAAACTTGTCTTGAATATACAACACGTTGTACATGTGCAAGAAACTGCTATGTGACTAGACTGAAACATATTTAGAGAAATCTTTGTAAACCCACTGAATGCACCATAATTATGTATAAACATAAATAATATGAAAGTTAACTCCATGTGAGCTATGATTGCAACATAAATCATGACAAACGAAGTTCATACAGAAGAGATATTTAAGTTTTGTAATGCTTTGAGAAACTATTTTATATAGTCAAACGTAAATACATTGTTTTATATGATTGCAATAAAAGACAAAGGTAAAGGTAATGCTTTGTTTGGTTGCTTCATCGCGATGTTTGTTCAAATTCACAATCGGAATTAACCTCCTCTGGAA